GTTTAGTAGTAGAAGGGAAATTTGACATTTGTGTTTGGACTAAAATAATTAATTGCTTATGAAATTTAAATAGATGTAGGACAAACTAGAAACTTTTCTGTAGCACCACCTACCCTTATTTTTAAAAAAAGTAAAAATAAAAACCTAAATACGTTGACTTCCGTATTTTCATTTACATAGCAAAATCTTTGTTTTTAAAAATGAACAAAGATTTTTCAGTGAATATAGAACATCTTTTGTTACTGCAGTTTTTGTTTGATTGTAATGTTTTAAATGTGATTTAAGTGAAAATGACATTATATTTCACAAGATATATATTCAAACACATAGACTGGAGTATATTTGTTAGCCTGAAACCATGACAACAAGATTATACTTGTTTCTCCTGAATCATAACAAGGTTACATTGTATTTGTAGAAGAGACGACAATGGCAATAACAGTAAATATTAGATGGGAATAAACTTTCTAAAATTAAGAAATATGTGAATATGGAGACTAAATCAAGGGCAATTTCACACAGGAGCAAAAAGATAGATCACATAATTTTTTTCCTACTGAAAATAGGTCTATTGTTATGCAGATAACTCTTTTTTCTTTTAGGAAGAATTTAGTTGTCATTCACATTACATTTGATAAATTTTGGAATGAATCAAATATGACTCCCCTTCATATGTCAAACAAATCAAGCCCATTTATAAACACTGGCCACACCCATTTGAATCTACTCCTCTGAGACAAACAAATCTCCTGCAAGTGCATAGTATGATATTAATGATATACTTTAGCTATAATTTCCCTGGAAATAGTATGATAGTCTCCATCATTTTGGTTCTTACGAACTGGGAAAAGAATTGTCAGCAAATTGAAGTATTTTTGTTTACTGACATTAATTAAGAAACAAATATTGGGCCTCCCTAGTGGCGCAAGGTGTTAAGCACCACACTATGAAGCAATCCCCAGCCTCTGCAGCACAAGTTTGATCCCTGGCCTGCCAGGGAGCAACCCACATGGCGCAGCAGACCTCTCCTGACTCACCCACTGCTCCCTTCAGCAGCGTATTTCAGTCAGTCTGCCTCTTCTGTTCCCCACTCTGTCTCTGGTGAATCTTCTCACCCCTTCCCTACCCCCTTCCCCCCCATCTCTGGCCTGTAGCCCAGCAGCTCTTGTATGCACAAATAATCTTTAAAAAAAGAAACAAATATTTCCTTTAATTGAGCTCCACATGAATGGAAAAAAAAAAGATTGTATTACTTAATGGTATTTCCATAGGGCAAAGAAAATAGATTAGATTTTTTTCTTTAAAAAATAGTTTTAACAATTTAAAAGACAATTAGTGGTTATTTAAACAACTATATAGCCTAATCATTTTTCTGCATTATATCCCAGACAAGTATTTTAATAATTTTCAAGTATTTCTAAAGATTAATAAGTCACTTCCTTAGAGAGTCACTAGAAAATTCCTCTTAGACAGGTTTATTGGACTATTGTGAACTAAGGGGTAATTTTTTTCATGAATGGAGTGGAAGCAAACTTTGGTTGCAGAAATTAAGGGTTCCTAACCTTTCACATTTAATATTACTATTATGACAAACATTAGTTCAATATTTTTATTTTGACATTTAACTCTAATAAGGACTGAAATATGTTGTTTTTTGTTTGTTTTTCCTTTTAGGTGTTTTTTTTTAAAGATTTATTTATTTATGCATATGAGAGCTGTGGTACAGGCCAGAGATGCAGAGGGGTGAGGGGATTCACCAGAGACAGAGTGGGGAAAAGAACAGGCAGACTGACTGAAATACACTGCTGAGAGGAGCAGCTGGCAAGTCAGGAGAGGTCTGCTTCACCATGTGGGTAGCTCCTTGGCCGGTTGAGGATCAAACTTGTGCTGGTGCTACAGAGGCTGCGGACAGCTTCATAGTGTGGTGCTTAACCCCTTGTGCCACCAGGGAGGCCCCACCTTTTTTTTTAATTTTTTTTTAAGATTTATTTATTTTTATACAAGAACTGGGTGCAGGCCAGATGTGTGGGAGGGTGAGAGGATTCACCAGAGACAGAGTGGGGAACAGAAAGACAGACTGACTGAAATACGCTGCTGAGGGGAGCAATGGGCGAGACAGGAGAGGTCTGCTTTGCCATGTGGGATTCTCGTGGGCCCGCCAGGATCGAACCCACACTGCAGATGCTGGGGACAGCTTCACAGTATGTCACTCAACCACCTGACCAGGGAGGCCCATAGAGCCCCATCTTTTAGGTATATTTTTATCGTCTTTGTATTATTGCCTTTTCTCCCTTGACATTTTAGTCCTTTTGCACTGGTTGTCATGAATATATATCAGCCTATTCTGTGTGTTCTCCTTTTTAATACGCATCCTGTTTTTTTAAACTGAGGTTTGCAATAGAATTCTCCATGCAAACAAAGCTAGTTCATTAGTATGTACCATGTTTTACCTAACTCATAAGAAACATTAGTGATTTTGAAGCCCAAATCATTATTTCAGAGACCTGTGAATTCTTGAATAATCTTTTAGTGCAGAATGTTATTCATAATTGATTTCCACAGCTATGTTGAGAGCAATAACTGCCACCCCCCGATTGCTCATATTCTTTGTCTTTCCTTATTCTCACACAGTGAAGGGGTTGTTTTAAACCATCTTGTTTTTCTCAATTTATAAGATTTTATTTTTATGTATGCACACAAAGCATGGATGCAGTGAAGACAGACCTGTGGGGTGGAGAAGGGATGATTTCTTTAATCAGCTTTTCCAAAATAGGTATAAGGTCCATTCATCTTAGCATCAACCATTTTTTTAGTCTTTTTTTTTTTTTTTGAAGATTTATTTTATTTACACAAGAGCTGGGGTACAGGCCAGAGGCACGGGAGAGTGAGATGATTCACCAGAAACAGAGCGGAGAACAGAACAGGCAGACTGACAAAATACACTGCTGAGGGGAGCAGCGGGCAAGACCGAAGAGGTCTGTTGCACTATGTGGGTATCTCCCTGGCCGGCTGGGAATAGAACTGGCGTTGCAGAGACTGTGGACAGCTTCACAGCACTGCGCTCAACCCGCTGTGCCACCAGAGAGACCCAGCATCAACCATTCTTTAGGAGACTGACCCACTGATATACAGAGAAAAATATGGCATTAAATTAATAGATTTTCTTAGAGCAGAAAACACATTACAATGTTTTGTTCCTTTAGTACTAATAAGGAAATAACAACTGTGACCTAAAATAAAATAGAGGTTAAAAAAAATGGATTTTGAAGTGCAGTCATGAATAATTATTTTAAAGAAAGGATAGGATTGTTGAATACTTTCTTAATCCTGAAATATCTAAAGTGCCTTTTCTGTTTACATATCTTAATTGGGTGTATGCTTCCTATATGTGGTTTCTTTTTCTTTTTTTAATAGTTTGTGTTATGCCACGTTCTAGTTTTTATTACTATGGATGAGAAATCAAGAAATTTCTTTCATTTCTCTTTCTCTCTGCTCCCTCTTTCTATTCCTCCCCCCTCCTTCTCCTTTTCTTTTTCTTCCCACCCCATCCCCATTCCCCTATTTTTTACTGACACTCATCACTGAGAAAGCTTTTAGCCTAAACGTTTACCATCCTTTCAAGCTCACTTTGCCTGAGCCTCCCTCACTTGACTCCTTCAACAGAGGACACATGGCTCCTGCAAATGAGGTTTTGTTCTAAGGACTGGGCATCACAGGCTCTCTCTTGACCCCACCGTTGAAAGCCTAAAATAGGGTGATCTCACACTATCTTTGATTTCTGTTGCCACCTTTTACATCAGTAGTGGAGGGGTCTTATTCTCACTAGGGAACACCTTTGACATTCACTTTTAGAGAAATAGTCTATTTTCACTAATGCAGGCCTACTCTTGACTTCTGTTTTAGATCTCTGAAGACAGAGGTGTGCTTTTACTTTTAGACGAAATACATTCCCATAAAGGAATACTTCTTCACTGTGCTTCTCCCAGCTTCTGTCTCCACCCACGACTTTCTCTCCCTTGGGAAATGATTGCTATAGCTAAAGGTTTAGAATGTGACATGTTTTACTACATTGTAACTTTTACCTTTTCTTTTTCTCTTCCTATTACTAGACTGGTTGGGTGGGTCCTTTCATCTAGTTGGGTAAATTTGTCTTCTCTAAACTTCAGTTTGTAGCATGGCTTGTAATGTAAACAAAGCTAGTTCATGAGAAGTCCAATTTGGTGGCAAATGTCAATCTTTTATTAAGCCGTTATAGCAATGAAAATAAAGTTTTGATTTTCATATTTCTAGTTCCTATAACATTGTACATTTTGCTGAAAATTAGGCCATAAAAGAGAGGTATGCTTACTGGAGTTCAAAAGTATGGCCTATTCAACTGATTAATATATATATATAAAATTCAGTATATAAAATATATGGTGATACAGTGGCATAAATATATGGTGATACAGTGGCATAAACATATAGAATGATAAGTAAAGATACAGAATGATATTTAGATGATTGGATTTTGCAATTCTTTGTTTTGGTGGAAAATAGGTTTTTAGTAGACCTCAAAACAAATGAGAGACTCCAAATGACTGAAGATATTAAAGGGAAAGTGGTTCTGCTCTGTGATTAGGTATAGGCACCACTTTTATATGAATGACATGGGTGCCTTAGTGGTGGATATGGCATGGTAACATACATTTGAAGGGTGTGATCCTATATCTCAGAATCATTTACAGAATTGTAAACCAATATTATTTCAATTAATAAATAATAAACATAACACAAAGTATTTTTCTATGATCCATATACATTAAAAACACCCACTTTATGCATACTATTGCAGAAGACTCTCCCGTTTGTAGATGTCTTTTATTTTCAACCCAGTGTTTTTGATAATTGACCAATATTTTTGTACATAAAGGTAGTTCATTCCTTTTTATTCCTGGGTAGTATTCTGTTGTATGGATTACCACATTTATTTTATCATTATTTTCATTTCTCTCTTACAGAAATTAGCTGAAATACAAACTCCAGGTAATGTAATAAGAAAGAAATATTTTGTTACTCAAGAAGGTAAGTAGGAAATATATCTTCTTTTGTTCTTGCTTCACAATTTTATATTCTAGACGAAATTACCAGATTTTAGATTTATTATTTTCAAAGGTTTCTGAATATAGACACACAGCTTGCCACATGCAAACCAGCAGGAACAAAAATGATCTTGTTGAATGTGGAAACATTCTACTCCTTATATTGCAATTTTTTTTTTTTGCTTTGAAACTACTATGCATAAAACCATAATACTGGAATAATAGAACCCTAATGAATCTAAGTCACTATTTAAAATGGAAGTTAATCAGTGGGATAGTGCAGCAAATGTTTGAAGATGGATATTACTGCTATGTAGTAACATCAGTCATGTTTCTAAAGCACTTTATGCATATGTTTGTCTTAAATATTTTTCCATCATTTAGTTTTAAGAGACATGTCATTTAGACTGCAATAACTCCAAACGACCAATAAAAAGGAGAGTAATTTAAAAAGTTTCCTAGTGTTTATTCCCTCTTGCCTTTCTTTCAATAGTTTCCTCCCTTCCTGGTTTGCCTCACTTCAGTGCCATCCTTAGAATCATTAAGAAATTATAAGGCACGGGATCATCTTGAACTTTGAACTTTAAGGAGACCTGCTTTTTAACCTTCTGTGAGTCAATTGCTTCCATCAGGAGTTATCTTATGATAACTATCTGATGATAACTATCCACACTCTTCTCCAGTCTAGACCACACTACAGATCCTGGTACTTTTCTTCAAAGGCCCTGAAGCTGCATCTGCTTCCTATGCTGGCCTCTTCCCAGAAAACAATGCTACTAGTTTGTAAGTCTAAGACCTTTGAGAATAGTCATTTGAAAAGGATCAGGTGCTTGAACTCTCAGTTACCCTATAAAGGGGACGGATAAATTGATCCTTTAAGTTTTTGGGGAGAGGAGAAAATTCTGTAGAAAATAAAAATTACCAAGATAAGCTTTGTAGGAGATTCTGATCAAAAATGAGTGGTAAGAAATTGAACTTTTTATAATCTGTGAACTTAAATTACAGAGCAAAAGGATAGAACAAATTGTATGCTAAAGAGTAGTCAATGAAAGTTATTCTTATAAAAACCCAAATAAGATAAAAATGAACTGTAATTATATATATATATATATGTACATTTTGTGTGTATGTTTGGATGTGAATGCTTGTGTGTGTGTGTAAAGAGTTTTTTAGTGTTCTGCCTGGAAAAATTCAATTCTCCATCTTAATCTGGTTACTCTGAGTATTAAAATGCATGAAAGTACATGGTATATCTCTGTCAGAGCAGGCACTTGGCTCATGTTTACAATTCATAGAGCGCTGCCTGACTTGTTATCCCTGCAGGATGCCTAGGCTCTGTAATCTCCATTACCATAAGCTAAAACTCCTATGAATAGGATACTTTTTCAAAATACTGAATAAAAGATTCACATACATTTCCAAACATTTCCTGTGGATAAAGAATAATATGTAATAATAATGAAACATAAAATTAAAAATGAAGAACAGTATTCTGAATTTAATAAATATGGTGAACTATCACTAAAATCCTGATTAAATTACTATTGGTTTATATCAGTGCACTTATACTCTCTCTATAACATTAATTAATTTTTTAAAATGTAAGTACTTTTAATTTGGATTTTTAAAAATTGTACTTTTTTTGTTGATGTAACTTTTGTTTAAAACATTGTATATGGCTTAACTGTGTTGGATCACACCTTTTCAGATGTATGTCACTACACAACACCCAACACCAAAGCACCCATAACCTCCACCCTATCCATTCAGCCTGCTCCCTCCTTTACTTGCCACCCCTTCATCTTCCCATCTGCAACTCCATAGTCAGAAATCGAGGATTTGATTTGGTTTAGTTTTGTCTGTTCCTTTGTTTTGTTGCTTTATATTCCACATATGAGTGAAGTCACCTGGGATTTATAAAAACCTTTTTTGATAGTTTATATTTCTTTTTCACCTGTATAATATTTGTTCAGATTTGTTACTTTTTATAAATTCACTGCTGTCCATTATATTGAATTAGTATGTACTAATTCAACTTTTGCTTCTATTTTAAAAGTCAGTTATTTTCTTTAAGTACCTAAAATGACATTAACAGATGCTTAGAACAGATTTCCAAAACCATAATAAAGGTGTTGCAATAGAAGTAGATCAGTTTGTGACCTGCTATTTCTCATTTGACTTTTAATATATTTTTAAAGATTTATTTTTATTTATTTATGCATTCAAGAACTGGGATGTAGGCCAGAGGTGTGTGGGGATGGGGGAGAGGATTCGCTAGAGACAGAGTGGGGAGCAGAACAGGCAGATCTACTGAAATACACTGCTGAGGGGAGCAGCAGGCAAGACAGGAGAGGTCTGCTGTGCAATGTGGATTAGCCCCCTGGCCAGGAATCAAAGTCATGCCTCAGTGGCTAGCAATAGCTTGATAGCCCTGAGACTTAATCCCTGTCTCAGGGAGGCCCCTTTTTATATCTTAAGTGGTTAAGTAGTAGCCAGTAAAGAAGTCCATGTTTTCTCTTCCATAAATACTTGTAGATGTGAAAAAACAGACAAATATAATTTTTTCATTAAAAGAAAAGTATCACTAAAAGTAGACATTGCCTTATTTTCTCATGGAAACATTAGTTATTTGGAAAGAACAATGATGATGTTAAATTGAAACACTATTACTTTGAATTTATAATTGCATTTATTTGGTAAATTTAAGCACTAGTCTTTTCTTTCTTTTTTGAGGTAGCATGGTTTACAACACTGCATTTGATTTAGAGGTATTATGTCACACCTCTTCAATTGAAGGAATCCAAAAATCTTCCACCATAGTCCTTTGTACCTCATCTCCCCATTGCTCCCCCTTTTCTGCCTCCCCAACCAGAGGCCACAATTTTACAGTCGAATTTCTCAGAATTGTTGTTGGTTTTTATCTGATCCTTCGTTATATTTCTCTATTGTGTACATGTAAGTGACACCACAAACTGCCTTTCTCCTTTTAACATATTTCACTTAGCATTTTCCCTTCTACACTTAACATTTCCCTTGTCATACATGGCAAAAGTGTAGCTTTCTATAGCTGAGTAGTATCTCATTGTGTATAAATATCAAATCTTCCTAATCCACTGATCTCTACTTGGCTACTTTGGTTGTTTCCATAATATAGCTATTGTAAATAGTCCTGCAATGAATAAAGGAGTGTATATATTTCTTCAAATTAATGTTTTGTTTTGTTTTTCTTTTATTTGAGTAGATACCTAGGAGTAGAATTGCTGGATCACACAATAAGTCTAGTCTTTTTTTTTTTTTTTTTTTGTAAATTTGGGAAACCTCCATACTCTTTCCAAAATAGCTGGAACAGTTTGCATTCCCACCAACAATGTAATATGTTTGTGTTTTCTCCACATTTTAGCCAACGCTTGTTGTTTATGGTCTTTTTAAATTTCTTTGGAGAATGTCATTGAAACTTAATAAAGAGTGCATTGAATCTGCCTATTACAGTGAGTTAGGTGTCCATTTTAACAATGTTAATTCTTCCAATCCATGATATGGGAGAGAGTATCTTTCCATTTCTTCAGTTCCTTTTAACAAAATCTTATAATTTTCATTGTACAGGTCCTTCATCTCCTTTAAGTCTAATCCTAGGTATTTAATTCTTTTTATGCTATGGTAAATGGGATTGTTTCCTGATTTCTTCTTCATTTATTTCTTGGTTTCCATATTGGAACACAAGGGATTTTGTTAATTGATTTTATAGCCTTCCAATTTGCTGAACTGATTTATTAGTTTAATTAGTTCTTTAGTGGAGTCTTTAGGGTTTTCTATGTATATTATAATGTCATCTCCAAATTGTGATAGCTTTGCTTTTTCTTTCCCAATTTGGATTCCATTTATATATTTCTCTGACCTTATTGCTCTAGCTAGGACTTCCAATACTATATTGAACAGCAGTGGTAAAAGTGGACATACATATCTTGTTCCATATCTTAGTGGAAAGTCTTTTAGTTTGTCATCTTTGAGAATGATGTTAACTGTTAAGTTTATCATAAATGGCCTTTAGTGTGTTATGTTCCATCTACCTCCATTTGTGTGCCTTTATCATCAAAAACTTAACAAAACTTATCAAAAACTGTATCAGCATGTTTATATTGATGTGGTGATTATGTTGATTACGTTTTGGAATCTGAGCTATCATTGCATCCCTGGAATAAATCCCACTTGCGCCAATGTAAAATCATTTAAATACATTGTTGAATTTGGTTGACTAAGATTTATGTTAGTCAAGAATATGTTGAGAATATTTATATATTTATATTTATATTCATCAGGGAAATTGGTGTTAGTTTTCTTTTATTGCAGTGTCTTTATCTGGCTTTGGAATCAGGGTAATTTGACCTCATGAAATGTGTTAAACAACAATCTGAAATACTACATTTTATATTCTGAATGACTCCCAAGAAATACATGCATCTTTCTTTTAATTTCAATGTTGAAATTGAAATTAGAAAAATGAAAGAGGAAAAACACATGGTTAACATATATGAAATGAAGTATTATATGTAAAAGATAAACTCTCTCTTTTGTTCTGTTTCATATTATCTATAAAAATATCAGAGTGCTTTTAAGAATATGTAAGTTTTAATATTTTAAATCTCTGTTTCCTTTTTCTAAGACAAAATAGAGGATCCTGATAGTAAAGCAGGGTCACAGAGAAAAAATAAATAAGGCAGAAAAAAATTAATAAAAGTGAAGACAATAATAAAATGATGTAAAACTTCCTAATTACAGAATGCAGTATGCAGAGAATTATCCTTGAACTGCTTGACTCCTGTGAGCAGGATTTTTGTGTTAATTAGGAGCATCCTTCATTAAGTTTGTCTGTAAATTATATATTTTCCAATTCAGCATTTAGTGTTTTTAAACAAAAATAGTCACATCCCTCAAAAATTTTAAGAAAAGATAGAACAATTGTGAAAATTTAGGTTCAAAACTTTA